CACACCTATGTATATATATATATATATGTACACACACAGAATGTGCTCAGGAAATTTATGGGAGTACACATAAGAAAATGTATCTATTTAAAAAGATTTTATTTGAGAGAGAGAGAGAGCCAGAGCACACAGTGGGGATCAGGGGGAGAAGGAGAGGGAAAGGGAGAGAGAAGATCTCAAGCAGATTCCCCACGGACTGCAGAGTCTGATCTGGGCCTCAGTCTCACAACCCAGCGATCGTGACCCTAGCCGAAACTGAGAGTCAGACGCTTAACTGACTGAGCCACCCAGGCACCCCACATCTGAGAAAATGTTAACCAGGATTGGCCCTGTCAAGTAGGGGAGGGTTCTGAGACCCACTTAAAACCTTTCACTGTTTCAATTTATCACAAAGCCAGTATTACTTTTACTTAATTTTGTTTTAATATAAAGAGAAAAAGTTGCTAGTTGATGCATCTATTTATAAAAACCAAAGGTGAGATGCACACTAGGGAGAGAGAATAAAACAAGATTATTTGCAGTACCTTGCGACTCTGAGTCTATAAAAATGCATTTATGAGAGACACAAAGTTTAAACCTCTGCAGTGACAACACATAATTTAAAAAATTCTCTGTGATATAATTGGAAACTGTGATGCCTTCAGAATGTGTAGGACTTTTTCTCTTTTTATAGGTATGTTTTGAGTAATCCATTAAAAAGTTCAGACAGTAAAAAAGTTGGCACTCCCACTAGGTTAGGTAAGGGTAGATTTTTTTCAAAGCAGGGATCTGTCATTCTTTCCCCTTTTATACCCCCACCTTCCATCCACTGGGATAGCAAATAATAATTCACTTATAATTTACCACTTAACCAGACGCTAGGCTATGAGTTTTACACAGTTGCTCATTTAATCTTTGACACACTCCTATAAAATAGGTATTATTATGCCTGTTCCTTTTTTTTTTTTTTTTGAGAGGGAGAGGGAGAGAGAGGATCTTAAGCAGGCTCCGTTACACACAGTGCGGAGTCTGAGATGGGGCTCCATCCGACGACTCTGAGACTGTGACCTGAGCCAAAATCAAGAGTTGGACACTTAACCGACTGAGCCACCCAAGTGCCCTGGAAGATTTTACTTTCGCAAGAGGGTAGCTGCTAGATATCCCAGCCCACACACTCATCTTAGTATGGTCTTTGCCACTCCTCCATCAAGAGGTGGGATCTACATTCTCTATCCTCCAATCTGGGGGATGTGGAAAAGACATTGACATTTCTGACACGAGATCAGAGAAGGTAACACTGCTTCCATCTCCCACCTTGGAATGCTGATCCTCAGAACCCAACTGCCACCCTGGAAGGAAGGACAAGCCATGAGGAAACAGTAGTGTTCTGGCTGACAGTCCAGGCCACGGTCCTAGTGGGTAGCCAGCATCAATCGCCAGACATGTGAGTGAGAAAGTTTTTGGATTTTTTTATTGACGGGAGACAGGGAGAGAGGGAACACAAGCAAGGGGAGTAGGATAGGGAGAAGCAGGCTTCCCACTGAGCAGGGAGCCCGATGCGGGGCTCTATCCCAGGACCCTGAATTCATGACCTGAGCTAAAGGCAGACACTTAACCAATGGAGCCACCCAGGCGCCCAAGAAACTTTTGGGAGGACTCCAGCCCAGCCAGAATCTGACTGCGAGTGTATGAGAGACTCCAAGTGAAGCCTGCCTAGTTGAGTCCAGGCTACCCACAGAACCATGAGAGAGATTAAGATGCTATTTTAAGCCACTACGTTGGGGGTGATTTGTTGGGAAATAATAAATAACTAGAATAATGAAGAAAACCAGTTTAAGAAAGGTCAGTATCCTGCAGGAGACTGCCATGTCTGCCTGGCTTTAAAGCCCATGCTCTCAACAGCTTCCCTGAGTTTCTCCCTCCTCCCTACAACTGCCTATGAGGCAAAACAAAAAGGAGAAGGGGATCAATGATCAATACATTCCTAAACACTTGGGCAATTTCTAGAAAATAAAGTAGAAGATACACCTAGAAAACCTTAAGATAAAGAACAGCATGATAACCTGATATTCCTGCCCCCAGTCTTTGACCCTAAGCTAGGAGTCCATTTTCCCCATTACTTGCTTTTTCTATTCATTCTATTTCCACAGCTCTGTCTCTGTGACCTCCTGTTCCGGAATATTTTCTCCACTGTTAAATATTTGCTAACCATTTAACTGATCAGGACTCACACCTGGGTGACAATAGGTCCCCCCCCCACAATTCTCGGACTGGATTTTAGGGTAGAAGGCAGAATAAAGATGTAACACTAAACCAACTAATTGAAAACTACCCTATATATATATATATATATACATATATATATATATTTTTATATATATATATGTACATATATATATGTTTTTATATATATATGTACATATATATATAAAAAACAATACCCAAAGGTTTAAAGGATACAAATAAAATGCAAGTACTTATATAAAATATTTGTTTATAATATGTATTGTACTTTGTTATAGTATACAACATGCAGTGCAAACATTAGTGTTTAAAAGGGGGATAGAGCCCCTGGCTGGCTCAGTCAGCAGAGCACAGGACTCTTGATCTCGGGATTCTGAGTTTGAGTCCTTCGTTGGGTGTGGAGATTACTTAAAAGGAAAAATCTTTAAAAAATAAACAAATAGGGGCAGCTGGGTGGCTCAGTCATTAAGCGTTTGCCTTAGGCTCAGGTCATGATCCCAGTGTCCTGGGACTGAATCAAGTCCCACATGGGGCTCCCTACTCAGGGGAGAGTTTGCTTCTCCCTCTCCCACTCCCCCTGCTTGTATTCCCTCTCTCGCCGTCTCTCTGTCAAATAAATAAATAAATTCTTTAAAAAAATAAACATGGACGCCTGGGTGGCTCAGTTGGTTAAGTGGCTGCCTTCGGCTCGGGTCATGATCCCAACATCCTGGGATGGAGTCCCACATCAGGCTCCTTGCTCAGCGGGGAGGGAGCCTGCTTCTCCCTCTGCCTCTGCCTGCCACTCTGTCTGCCTGTGCTCACTCTCTCTGACAAATAAATAAATAAAATTTTAAAAATAAATAAATAAATAAAAATAAAAGGGAGGTAAATACACATTTACATATGCTTCTATGTAAATATATAGATACACATTTATATATACAAACATATAAACGTAAAAGAAATCGTAAGAGTGGTTGCCTCTAGGAAAGGAGCAGCAAAGGTTTTGAGGCAAAGGTGAATAAATGGAATGATCAAATGATCAAACCTAACTTAAACAATCAGGCTGACATCAGACTCTAGATGGGACACACTGATAGGCACCCAACACCCTCTCTGACATAGTCTTGATCAACATATTTAAGCTAATCATAAGGAAACAATCAGACAAATCCAAATCGAAAGATACACAGCCTGAATTCTTTAAAATGGTCAAGAAAGACACATAAGGCAGGACACTGTGCCAGATTAAAGGAGACCAAAGAGATATGACAACAAAATGCAATTTGTGATTTTTGATTGGATTCTGGAAAAATAAAAACACCTGTAATGGATATTACTGGGATAACTGGGAAAATTTGAAACATAGGCTGCATTTTGGATAACGATGCTATCCCAACACATTATTCGTACTGTGATGATGCAGGAGAACGTCCTTGATTTTAGCAGATACTTGCTGAAAGCGGTGAAAGACACTGGTGTCCACTACTAACTCTCAAAAATTAGGCGGAAGTAAATACTGTAAGTGATTTAGAGAGCACAAGTGAGCAAGCACACAAACAAAAGCCAAAACGTGCATCTAAGTGAAAAGTTTATAAACATTCAATGAATCCTTCTTGCAACTTTCATGTAGACTCAAAAATTTTCAAAATAGGGGCGCCTGGGTGGCTCAGCGGTTAAAGCCTCTGCCTTCGGCTCAGGTCCTGATCTCAGGGTCCTAGAATCAAGTCCCGCATCCAGCACTTTGCTCAGCAGGGAGCCTGCCTCCTCCTCCTGTCTCTCTCTGCCTGCCTCTCTGCCTACTTGTGATCTGTCAAAAAAAAAAAAAAATAATAATCTTTAAAAATTTTTTTCAAAATAAAGAGCCAGGAAGGAAAAAAGGAACACAGTAAAAAAAAAAAAAAAAATGTGTATACAAATCCACACTACAAGTAAAAGTGTAAAGCCTTTTGTAAGCCTGTATTCTAACTACAGCTTTGGGTGCATTAGTGAAAAAGATAAACATGTAAACAATATCTACCAAAAGAAAATAAGAATGTCTTGTAAAGGGCGAATGAGATGAATTAACTATTTTAAATATCTTTGTTTCACAATTTATGCCACAATCAATCACCAACTGACACTCAGCATACAAGGCAAATTTTACATTGTAACTGTATCTAATAAAATTTCATCTTTCCACGGGGGGTAGGGAGCCCATTCTAGTTGGTTGCATTTGAATTGCCCAATAGTCCACAAATCCAAGTATAGGTAAATTTTATACCTGTCACACATTTTCTAGGACGACGATCTCCTTTCCCAACTTCCCAGCAACACTCACTTCACCAAAAGGTTGTCTCAAAATCCCTATAAAAATAGTTCCCATAAAAACACAGTGTTTTACTAGTTCCCATAAGCACGGCTTGATCCAAAAAACAAAACAGCCTAGCTTTCCTCTCAGCTGTTCCCTGAACCGACGTCAGGAAAAAGCAGGAAGCCGCACTCACTGCCGAGTGTCGAAGAATCTCAGTTTCAATCCAGCGTTTTAAAACAACAACAACAACAACAAAACCCTCAAACTTGTAACATAACCTTGCACTAAAGTATGCGGGGGTGGGGGGCGAGGAGAGGGACTCGGGAGGACGCTGGAAACCCCAGCGCCCCCACATCCACCCCGAACCCCGTGGAGCACCATCTTCGACCGCCCAGGGAGGCTGGGGGTCCCCACACGCGGCGGCCCCCCAACCCCGACCCTCCAAGTGGCCGCACAGGCGTGACGGGGCCCGGCCCCTCCAGTCCCTCCTGGCCCCGCTCACTCTTCATCCTGGATACGGAAGCCGACGACAAACCCTTGCCGACACCAGACGGAGAAGAAAGGGCCGGAAAGGACGGCCCCCTGCTTCCACTCCTCTGAAGCAGGGTCCGGACCTAGGACCTCCGCGCTGGCCCCCGACAGAAAGCGTTAGGATACGGCCGACATGTTGTATCCCTGTCACCCTAGCAACCGTCAGGTCCCGGACGCCTCGAGGCTGCCGCCCGCGCGTGCGCAAGACGCTACGGCCGCATCCGTCGGCCCTACGCGTACGCGTGCGCAGTGCGACCCGCCTCCTCGGTCTGGTTGCTGAGCAACCTCCCCAGCTGCTTTTCGTGACAGCTCCCGGCCTTTGAGGAGTGCAGGCCACCCTCCGGAATCGCTATCCCCATCCTGCGTGCGAATTTAGCCATTTGAGACCTAATGCCAGAACGACAGTGGAGCTTTAACTAGGCTGGGGACGCACTAGGTTACTGTCAGTCGATACCCGCTCGTGTGCATGTCTTTGAGCACACGCGTGACTGTTTCTGTTGGAACCGGTGGATTGTAAGACACCTACAATTTAACTACGGGCTTACGTGGAATCATTCTCCAAAAACTCTGTGCCAACACACAGAGGATCTACACATGAATTTCCTTGCCCCTAACACTTGCCTGGACATAGGATATCTACTAAGATTCGGGGAAAGATCAAAACATGACAACGTGCAATTTTTAATTCCTTCATGCTTCTCAGTCCCTCTCTCTTGTCCCTCCTTGAGGACATATTCTCCTCTGAAAAGCCAGAAGCTTTCTCCTCTGTAAGCCACTGCAAGTGAGACCTGAATGCTTCCAATGGTGGCCTCAGCCTTTCTTACTTGTCCCCTACTGTCCGGATCGCATCTTGGCCAGGGACAAAACACCTGCTCAGATGCGCTCTACCCTCAACACTTCCTTCCTCCCTGTCCCCACGAGACACCTCGTGCACACCCTGCACACCCCTCCACCTTTTTCTACCCACCTCACCTCTTGCTGGTCCCAGCCCCTTCCTTCCAGCCCCAGGGTGACCAAGTCTCCACAGTCGCCTGTCATTTACAGGATAAATCCCCATTTCTCACCCCATATACAATCTCCATCCACCCGAAATCTTCTGGCCCAACCCTTTGCCCATCCCATCCTCCTCTGACGTCTTCCTGTCCAAAATCATTTTGGTTTAGAAAGTTATTTTTCCTTCCTCAAATAATGTTTTTAATATATTTAATGTACATTTAATTATTTTAATAACTATAAATTATAATTTTATAAATGTATTACTTATTTAAATTATTGTATAAATAGATATTTAATGTTTTGACTATTATGTTTAATATATAATGATACGTAAAATACAATATGATGTATTATGTTATATTATTTTATAAATTTGGTGGCTATTCTGTGTCATGGTTGCACCATTCCCTATTTAATTGCTCCCCTACTGATGGATATCCAGATTGTTTCTAATAGTTTGGTCTTTCAAACATTGCTGCAGTGATCAACCCTGTACATACATTATTTGTCCAAGTGTACCTAGAAGAGAAATTCCTAAAGTGGAGTTTCCAAGTCACAAGTATCTACTTTGACATTTTGGCTTCTTTTTGAAAATGGAGTCAAACTCATATAACATAGAATTAACCATTTTAAAGAGTGACATTTAGAACATTCGCAGTGTTGTGCAACCATGACCTCTGTCTAGTTCCAAAATAGCTCCATCACCCCAGAAGGAAGCCCTGTACCCATTAAGCAGTCTCAAAAACATGATGCTAAGGGAAAGAAGCCAGACACTAAAAGTCACATGTGTTTAAAATTATTCCATTTATTGGAAAAGTCGAGAATGGGCAAATCTGTAGAGTCAGCGAGTGGATTAGTGGATGCCATGGGCTAGGGGGTGGGGAGAAGGAGGAGTGATGGTTCCTGAGGACAGGTTTTTTGTATTTTGGTGTTTTTTTCTGGTGATGACATTGTTCTGGAATTAGATAACCCTGGTGGTTACACAACTTTGTAAGTCTACCAATGATTACCGAATTGTACATATTAAATGGTTAAGAATAATTTGTGAATTTTATCTCAAAATAAATTGAAAAAGAAAAAAACAAACAACGTTGCTGGTATTTTGTTGACGGTGCTATCTTTTTGGCTCTGAAGATCCACATGTAATCCCTGCAGACCGCTGGGATTTGATCTCTCCCTCCTTACCTCCGTGTGGTCTTTCCTCTTATTTTGGGACTCTGTCACATTTCTCTTTCTCTTGTCTCTTTCACCTGTTTCTTCTACCCACCCGTCTCTCTCCCCCACTGCGGGCAGAGGGCGTGGCGGGAGAGTCTCTGAGCACCGCTAAACGGATGAGCCGGTGAATGCCTTGGGCGGGTGAGCCCCAGGCCGTTGTTCCTGACCGCCCTGGGACGAGGAATTTCCTGCTCATTTTCACTGTGGGCAAGTTCACGGTGGCTCTTGGGAGTGAAATTGTAAAAACCAGGTTGGCCACCATCCTGCAGAGGAGCTCGAGCTCGCCGCGGGTAGTCGGGCAAGCAGGGGCTGCTGGGCGTCAGCGCTCGCCGGGTGGTCCAGCCCGTCCCCCTGGTGCGCAGCCTGCACCTCCGTACCCAGAGGCCCTGGGAGACAGGGAGGAAAAGGGCCTCCAGAAAGGAAGAGCAAAGGATACCTATGGGTGACCTTAGCAGGGGGTCTGCGAAGGCGGACTCGAGAACGATCTCGCCGAGAGCGCTGTTTCTTAAGCTTTCCCAGCACCCAGATCGCCTGCCTTCAGGCGGTTGTGATTTGGGGACCTTCGAGTGCCACGCCCGACCCCCAGCGTTTCCGCGTCTGTAATTCTGGGGCGGGGCTCGAGAATTTGCGTCCCTAAGAGGATCGGAAGTGATGCTGCGGCAGTACCAGGGACCCTATTCGGAGAACCGCTGGTCTAGATAATTCCTTCCTCTTTATTTAATTCTAAACAGACTAGGAAACGCTACTTCAAAGAGAAAAGGGACTCTCTCGCCCTCTCCTCTGCCCCTCCTCCCTGCTTGCATGCGCTCGCTCTTTCTCTCTCTCTCTCTCAGATAAATCTTCAAAAAAAAAAAAAAAAAGATGCTTGTGAATTGGAACCTCCAGCACCTTAGAGCTCCGCTCCTGAAACTGCTCCAATACTACTTAACTACAGCCGCTCAGGCTTTCTGATTCATTTTAAACAGTTCCTCAGACAGTCCATCTGGATCCTCGCGTTAACTTTTCCCTCTTTTCCAATGTCAAGAGGTTCAGCCACAAGGCCATGGTTAGCAGATAAGTGCCCTGCAGCTGAGCCTCTGGAAATAGGAAGAAGTTAGGAAGAAAAATTAGAGGTGACGAATTTCAAGCGGGTTAACTTTTAACCAGCTTGAAATTTGTCATCTCTAATTTGGTGAGCACAGGCCAACCAACCTAAAGATAGTAGAAATTGCTTTCATTTTAGAAGATAATAAACATGTCTCAAAGGACACTAAGCTCACAGGGGTATGAGATAACGAGGAGCGAGCAGAACATTAGCCATTCAAATTAACATGAAGCACCGTGGGTAACAAGCTCCGTAAATGCGATCATGGTGTACTGTGTAATGTGGGTGCAAAAATAGGTCAACTTAAAGGCGTTCAGAACAACAGATGTAAAGTTTAAGACAAGGTTTGTTAAAGGAGGATAGAATTAAAATTTAGCTGTTAAAGTGATAGACTCACACCAGGTGACCCCAGGCAAATCCTGGAAGCACTGTCTTCTCACTTCTGTGAAATGGGACTAACAATACCCACTCCAAAGGGTGTTCATGCAGATGAAATCAGATGTCTGTGACACGCTATACAATACCACTTGATTTTTGCCCAGATGCTCAGTAAATGTTGTTGACTGATCAAGAGGCATCACCCCTTGGCACCGGCTGTTAGTCACCTGCCAGGTGATTCGGCCCCAGGTGATCTGGCCAGGTGATTCCTCTCAGGAAACGAACCTTGAGTTCTGACAAGGGCGAGCCTGATTTTCAATGATTATTGAAAATAATCATAACTGACAGGTTGTAGAGGCCATGTGGCCTGTTGTGGGAGACCCAGAGAGGCCTTTGCCAAGATCACCCACTTACTATGGGCCGTCCTGGGCCCAGACCCAAATTGGCAGCTTCCAACTCCCTGTGCTTCTTCGGCTCTCTTACATCTAAAAGAGACCTTTGTAAAAGTTTTACAATTAATGTACATGCCTTAAGGAAGGACACTTTTAATTTTTTTTTAAGATTTAATTTTTGAGTTATCGCCATACCCCACATGGGGTTCAAACTCACAACCTTGAGATCAAGAGTCATGTGCTCCACTAACCAAGCTATCCAGGTGCCTCTGGAAGGACACTGCTTAAGTCTCTGGAACCAACCGATTTGTTGTAGCAAATCAGAAGCAACATCTGAAAATCCTTCTGTTTGTCTATTTTTCTTTTGTGTTTTCTAACAGCTTTGACATTGTACATATTGTACAATGAAGCATTTTATTTCTGCGCCATCCCCTCGCATTTCTTTCCTTTTCTTTCCAGAATCAATTGGCAAGAATTCAGCATCAACATTCAAAGTGTTTTGCTCTCCTTGTCTGTGGGCTCCAGGGCGCCAAGTCAAAACACAAAACGTAAAAAGAAGGTTGCAGGGTAGTTCAAGGAAATTGTTCAGGAAACAGACAGTAGACATAGGCCTGGACTGAAGAAAATGAGAGATTCACCCTCAAAGTTTGGATCTCGGAAGAATGGTGTTCCAGAAAAAGATAAAGAGGAGATTATCAAATCTCCCTCAGAAACATTCTTCCTCTGAAATGTTGCCAGAATGGAAGGGCATGTTTCTGAGTTGGAAAGTCCAACAGTACGAATTTAATACACAATGGATTTAACATTCATTAAACAAGTATGTATCGAACACCTGCTCTGTGCCAGACACTGTTCCAGGAACTTGGGACCTGTGAATGTGGGGAAGGAGGCCACAAGCGGAGTGCAGCATCCATGGGCAAGGGAATGCCAACACTGCTAGCCGACCACCAGAAGCTGGGAGGTAGACATGGAGCTGATTCTTCTTCTGAGAAGAAGTAACCAACCCTGAGGACACCTCGGTCTTGAACTTCTGGCTTCCAGAGCAGTGAGAGAATAAATTTCTCTTAAATCCTCCAGTTTGGGGCTTAAGGCAG